GAAGGAGGGTATTTGTTAGCAATGCCCTCCAGCTCCTAGGGAAAAGCCCCACTGCACCGTCCTGCGAGATGTGGGAGAAATTAATGATTAAAAAAAAAAAAAAACCAAAAAAAACACAACCAAAAAACCAACCAAACCAACAAAAACCAGCCAGCAGAACCTGCCCCGGGGCTGTGCCAAGCCAACCCGAACGCCAAAGCTCCCTCCCGCTCCCTGCTCCCCCCGGCTTGTAGAAAGAAAGTCCCATCAAGTATTCAAAGTTTATTACAAGTGAACCGGAGATGACTTGGCATGAGTGATCCATTCAATTAACAAGATTCGGAGGACGGGCGGCTCTCCCTTGGCTCTGACAACACCTAGCACATTAAGAGACGGAGGCCAGGACAGCTCCCATGGGAGAAAAAAAAACAAAAACAAAAAAACAAAAAAAACCCAAACCAAAACGCAACAGCCACCCCTCCACACGCCAACGGTGAAAACCAGCAGCCTTCCAGGACCGGGGAGGGGAGAACAACATCACGGAGGCGGGATTTGCTTTTACTTATTCCTCAAGTAACAGTCGGCGGCACAGCCCTAAGTGTCACAAACTCTTGGCTTTCCTTGAACGGGTTGTTTATTTTTCTTTCTGTTTTCTTTTTTCTCTCTTTAAGTGGAAATTCAGACAGTATGTGAATCTATAGGGTTAAAACAAGTCATTTTCTGGGGAGCGGAGCCTCAAAAGGGGCCGGCTGCCGTGGCAGAGCTGGTGTCCGGGAGCCCGTTTTCCTGCGTGTCCTGGGACAAGGTGCTCGCCTGCCGCTGGGCCAGCGCTGAGCTCGAGTGTTTGCACTTGGGTGAACCGCACTGACAGCTGAAGTATTTGCCTTTGATGTCCCAGAACCTGTCACCATAGTCAAAGCTGCAAGAGAGAGAGAGAAGAGACGGGGTCACCGCAAAGCAGCAGCGAAAGGGACCGTGTGTCGGTGTGAGACACTGGGTCAGCAATCACGGAACCACGGGATGGTTTGGGTGGAAAGGGACCTTAAAGCCCATCCAGTGCCACCCCCTGCCATGGGCAGGGACACCTCCCACCAGCCCAGGTTGCCCAAAGCCTCATCCAGCCTGGCCTTGAACCCCTCCAGGGATGGGGCATCCACAGCTTCTCTGGGCAACCTGGGCCACTGCCTCACCCCCCGCACAGGAAAGAATTTATTTTCAACATCTAATCTAAATCTGCCCTCTTCCAACTGGAATCTCGGTGCTGCCACAATTTAGGATTCTGCAAAGCCTCAGGGGATGGAGCACACTTGTGGGGTCCCCCAGGAACATGGCCCAGGGAGGGAAGGGAGGGACTAAACCAGCTCAGGAGCTCCAGAGCTCTCGTCCCCCTGCACTCCATCCTTCCCTGAGCGAGGCGGTGGCAGCCCCGGGGACGGCACCTACCCGATTTCTTCTCCAGCTTCTATATGCCTCGTGCTGAAGAAGGCAATCCTGGGGAAGCGAAGGTCCTGATGCGACATGAAGACTCGCACCGGGATGAGGTTTGGCTCGCAGAGGTGGTTTATGAAGCGGCTGATGTTGCCATAGAAACGGGCATCTATGCAGTACACCTCTCCTTCCTGGGGGAGAAACGGTGCATCTTCCATTAGATGAGCTTGGGTTTAGCACTATTACTGCTACTTGTTTAAATAAAACGAACGACCAAACTATCGGTCATTCCATTAATACTCTGGAGAGCTTCAAGAAAAAGACCAACTGGGGTGGGACACCCATGGCAGGTTTAAAGGGACTAAACACACACACTTTTATTTCAAACACTACCCTGAATTTCTGCACAGAACTCTGCCCCCACAAGCCCAAAGACCTTTAAAAATGCTCCTGCCACCAGCTGGCACATCAGCTCTCCCCAGCCCTGCTCTGCAAAAGCACCAGTTTGGTATACTGGGACTGGTGTCTGGGGCAGGCAGACACCTTACCGGTAAAAGCCACTGGATAAGGGAAAAGTCATCTGTTCTGTCCTCACACAGCCAGAGCCTCCAGAAAATACAGGTTTTTGCAGATAAAAGTGAAAGTGAGAACACAGAAATTCCCTTTCCAGAGAGCAGTAATATTTTCTTTTCCTTGAAAATAATAAAAAAAAACCCTCAGGGCTTTTTTATTCCAGCAGAGAATGACTGTGCAAAGCAGAGACTTTAATTACAGAAGCTAATTTCAGTTGCAAGGAGGCCAAAAGCTAAAGGATCCATTAGCAGTGCTCCAACTCCCTTTTGGGCAAGCACCTCGCAATCGTTAATGGATGAGCTGTGCCAGGTCGCACGGCCGGCTGGTACAGGAGCCCAGGGAAGATGTCCCAGTGATGGGGGAGGCGTCACCCCGTGTGGTCCCATATCACACAGTGTTACCGGCTCTAATTTCAAATAATTCCCAGCACGAGTTTTCTCCATGGAAATGCCATAGTTGGTGAGGACATGATCACCCACTATCACATCTGGAAAAATCTGAGCTCTCCACCCTACAAGTTAAGAGGTTTCTCGAGAAAGGAGCCGCTGCCTTGACCAGCACAGGCAACATCCTCCCTGGGAAGCTGCCGAGGAGGACAAGGTCCAAAGCAAACTGCTTCACGCCTTGCTACAGGGTATCGGGAACATCAAGAGTCACACAGTGGCAACCAGAGAGGAAGAGGAGAAAACATGAACCTGCTCTGAGGGGCCATAAGGCTCCTTCTCAAGAGAGAGGAAACCATGAAAGGGTGATGCAGAAGATATGCACGCTCCCCTCTTACACCAAAAATCTTCAGTGCTTCAAGTGGAAGGACATTATGATTTCAAATGGATCTTAATGATCACCAGCCACAAAGGGTTCCCAGCCAGGCACGAGTCCACTCGTGGCTTTTTGTTGGTGCTCCTGGGTGAGGCACCGGGTGGATTCCAGCACAGCAACCCTGCTCGTGTACCCATGTCACCAAGGGTGGGGGTACGTGGCTGTGTCAGAAGGCAATTATCACAGCACCACGGACTGGTCTGGGTTGAAAGGGACCTTAGAGAACATCCAGTGCCACCCCCTGCCATGGGCAGGGACACCTCCCACCAGCCCAGGTTGCCCAAAGCCTCATCCAGCCTGGCCTTGAACCCCTCCAGGGATGGGGCATCCACAGCTTCTCTGGGCACCCTGGGCCACTGCCTCACCCCCCGCACAGGAAAACATTTCTTCCCAATATCCAATCTCAGTCTCCCCTCAGGGGTACATTCAGGCCATCACGAGCACTGGGGTTTCTCGGAAGGGGGGATGCCAGCAGAAAACCCTCCTTGCCCGCAGGCAGGGTCACGTGCAGAGGGCAGCGTGCAGCCCCGACCACCACCTCTCCTCGATGGAGCACAGCGCGGCCCAGAGCAAGAGCAAGGACTGCAGAGGATGGGCCTGTGCGTGGCAAAGGGGTGGCTTAACCCCAACAGAAAGCAACCACAGCAGCTAAAACTCAACCTCGTCTTTCCCAGAAAGTGTGGGTTTTTTCCAGCTCTTCAGCAGAGAGACAAGAAAGCCATCCCTTCAGCCAGCGGGAGCCCAGAGAGCAGCCGTTGTGCGGTCTCCCTCTCTGGAAAGCCAGCAGTGGCAGGAAGGTTTGGCTGCTCCATGTTCGCCCCCTTTCAGACCCAGGATGGGATGTGACGGCAGGAACTGGCACGCTGAAGGATTCACCTTGCACATGGCTGTGAGTGACAACTCAAGGCACAGGGACATCAGAAATGACCTCCTCACCACTCTCTTACAGCACAAGCACATCCAAGCTCCTTTTAACAATCACTCCAAGACCTGGTGCCTGGTTTTCTACAGATGCACCACTTTGAAGATACCATGAAACAAGACGATGTGCTTCCACCTCTACTTAGTCTCCCTCCTTGCTCCACTGAAGGTGTGATAAGACCAAAGCAGAGGTTCTCCCCCAAGGCGGGCTTGCCCCCAAGGCAAGACAAGGCTCTGACAGGCTCTTGCTAATAAACCAGGGTGAAGTCCCTGCTGCTTTCCAGTGTCTTAATTACAGTCTGACCCCTCTGTGTTCAGACTGACTTCAAGACCCATTACTTCTCTTTTTTTCAGTTGTTGAGTGTTGCTTTAAAGAAGAAAAAAAGGCAAAAAAATAAAGCAAAGCTGCTTTGTCACTAGCTGATGACAGAAACAAGACAGTGAGTGTTTTACAGCCTTCCTTGGAAGCCACTCCACTTCTGAGTCCCCAGCTCACCTTCCTCCTCTCCTCCATTCCCAAGGAATGTCTGAAGTGATGGCCTGGCTTAAAAGCTTTAGATCCCACTTTTCAAAGCAAGATTTCTGCTCTGAGACAGCCCTCTGCGGAGCAGCACAGGATAACTACCAGAAGAACAAGCCTCCAGTCCCTGCCAGGGTACCTGATGGATCCCTTTATAACCAAACGGGGATTTTTTCAGTCTTTCAGCTCATCTTTTTATGAGGAATTCACGGAGCTGCCAATCAACGCAGCTGCAAGCCGGCACACACACACCTGAGTATCAAAAACTGAACAACTGGGATGCCCAAATGGTTTTGACAGAAGAGCATCTTGCATGAAAACATGTGTGGGCAGCATGTACCCCGGTGGCCCAGCACTGCTGGGCGCTGTCACCATTTAACAAGCCCTAAGCCTTACCTCAACCGCTCTATATTTTGACTAAAACCTGGCGAGGATGCGGTTCTCCTCTTTGCAGGCTTTCAGACCACGCTGTGCATCAAGATGGGGATAAATATTCTCTTTGGCCTTTGGAGAGGCAAGACCTTGAGTTTGGCTTGTTAGCCACCTTCAGATACTGTACCTTGTTGTCAAGGTCGAAGAGATAGGAGTCCTCTTCACGGACATCAGCCTCGGAATCGGATATCAGCTCACCAACGTACCTGCGGACAAAGGGGAAAGGCAGAAATAAGATGCTCGTGTAATCACAAGCTTGGGTTCAAACACCTCTGTCTGGGGAGAGGGGAAGGAAGGGACACATGGATGGCAACCCACAGCCTTGGCAGCACAGGTCATCTCAGAGCCACCTGGGCAAACGCCGCTTTGCCAACTCACAGCAGCTAAAACCTGGCTCCAAATTCTGGTCTTTTCAGGGCAACACTTTTAATATTAAAAATGGAGTCTTACTTCCAACCAAGTTTACTTTTTCCCTGAGGGCTATGTTTCCTTTTGTAAATCAATTTGTTGGCCAAGATCAACACATTAATCCAATTCTCCTTATGTTTGGGTCAGACTCACATCTTGGCTCTCCTATACACCGTTTACATCCCAAAGCAGAACGTTTGTGTCTGTCCCTCCTGTATTTTCCAGGCTAGTTTGACCAATTACATATCCTACATACCTTAGAAAGTTTTGTTTTAAAAACTTTAAGTCTAACCTAACCTGGCAGGATCCCTGGAAGGATCTAGGTATCTTTCTCAATCCGTCTCAAGTCAGAATAGATCTGAGCTGTGATCTGAGTAACAATCAGCTTGTGAAACCCAGTGCAAGGCCGATCACAGCCAGGTCCCCCCAGTGCCACGAAGCCCGTGCTGCTCAGCCTGGCCTGCTGAGAAGGACCAAACACACCCCCCAGCAGTCGCACCCCAGCCAGATGCTGGTTTTGCTGCAGACCCCCTTGTCACAGGAGCCCCCGCTGCACGGGTGTTCCCACATTTGTCTCCCCATCTCCATCTTAAACAGCTTCAGACCATCAAGGTTCAACATTTCCTGCCCTGACCTGCTTGCAGTCAAAGACAGAGACACATGAGGAGAGGTGCCGAGCCAGAGGGATGATAGAAGAAAGACGCAGCAGCGCAGTAGATTCTGGAATGTAAGAACTTCCCAGCCTTTAACGCAACGCTAGTTAACTATAAGCAAAGGATTCACAATACACATAAATATTCTTTACAGCATCAACACAGACTTCCACGATCAGCAGCCCTTATGCCAGCATTCCTCGGCAGCTCTCGAGGCATTTTCCGAGTGTTAATCATCCATCCCCCTGGGGCTCCAGGCAGCGTTTATCTCCACGCTGGGGAGGAGGAGGGGCACGAAATGTGAACCCAGAGAGGACCCAGGCACCCCGTGACCAGGGATCATTCGGCGGCAGTTCCCAAATCCCAGCGATCCAGCCAAGCTGCTCTGCCAGGGCAGCAGGCTGCCGCCACGAGGGATCCTCCTGTTTGCTCGCCATCGCGTCTTGTTATTTACTAAGCGCTCGCACAAGGCTGCGACGCTGACCTAAAGCAATAGGAAGACGATGGCCAGAGAGGGACAGAAATTGCTGTAGTGTGGCACAGGAGCCAGCAGCAGCTGAGAACCAGCTGAACAACGCTGCACAGCGAGGTGCTGCTCAGGGAGAGCCACGTCGGGTTTACACCTCGGCGAAACAAAAAAACCCCCATCAAATTACAAATTTTTGTTTTGATGTTCCTTTAAAGATTATTCCTGCAACTCATTTCCTTTCCAGGTCTGCTCACCAATACAAACAGTTCCCTAATTTCCCAGGTCCAAAGGTATGGAGGGATATGCAAGAGGTACATTTTCCTACCCAAAAAAGAGCAGGAGCATCAGCTCCTTCCTTTAAAAGGAAGTCAAGCCAGTGTTTTTCTTCTCAGCAAGATGTTCAGCACGCCGATGGTAAGTAACTACATCTCAGAGCTTTACACTGCCACTCACTGCCGCAAGATCACAGCGTGCTCCACGCAGAAATCAAGAGCGACAAGAAGTCCCCCAGCACAGGCTCCAGCGTTTTCCACGGGGTGTGGGAGACGGGACGCCTGGGGCTTCTCTGGTTGAAGGTGTGGATGAGATACCTGGCTCAATGCAGATCGTATCTTATTAGAGCATCACTGTTTTGTACAGAAATGAAATATTTGGAAACCACATAATGGATGTGCACCGAAAGGAGCAGACCAGATCCTCGCCAACCTCTGGTTTCTGCATCCCGCTAATTCAAAGCCTCTCCAACAAAAGCCCTTAAAGCAGCTGTGCCATTTCCCGAACGAGCACTTACAGTGCCTGACAAACAGAGCAGACTCAAAACAACCCCAGCAACGTCAGCACAAGGGGAGCAACAGCAATTTCCAAGCAGCAACACAAATGCGGAGGCCGGGGAGAAACCTGCGCACGAGCACAATCCTGAGCATCTGCGAGTGGAAGAGCTTAAAAACTCTGCGGGAGCCCAGCGGGGCAGGGAGGATGATGCTGCTCCACATCCCCTCACTAAGCTGCTGCTTCCAGGACGGGGCTGAAGGTACGAGAGGGTCTGGAGCAGCTGGGGTGTGGGGAGCCCTGGGGAGGAGAGCGGGAGGGCTGGCTGCCCACCGTGCTGGCGGAGCCTCGCTCCCAGCTGCCAAACTGCTCCGAGCGCTGCTGAACACTGCCTGTAGAACCTGCGGGATGCAGGAGAGACAGTCTGCAAGCAGAAAGGGAAAGGGGAATCATTTTTGGAGTCATTACGGAGAAAAGTTGAAAGGTATCTGCAGTACGGAGAGGCTGAAGAGCAGTGTGTGTGTTAGAGAGGGATTTACACGGGAACAGTCAGGACCAACAGTTTTGCAAAATAAAAGCAATGTGAGTATTCCAGATCTGTCCCTATGTGGGTGTATGTTATTATGGAACAAAAGTCATCATCCTTACACCAATACAACTATCATCCTTTCAAAACAGAGTAATAACCTCTGCACAAAGCGACTACCCGCTGAGCTCTAATTCAGACATTTAATACAAAATGCTCTTCCACGAGAGCCGACCCCGGGAGCTGTTGCGTGCAAGCAGCCCCCGAGCACCGCCAGCCCTGGGGCTTCTGTGCCAGAGAGGAGGAAAAGAAGAAACCAAGTCTCTAGGTTGCCCATAAAGAATCACAGGAAGGCCATCAGTGCAGGTGGCTTGAGGAGGGGAGGACTGGAGTTGGTGAGTTGAGTAAATAACGTGTGTGAGAGTGATGGAGACAAGGAGGAATGTGCATGGGCAAGACAAATTAGCTCAGCTTTTCAGTACGCAGCTCATTTAGATAATGAAGAAGATAGTGCCTGCCACTGAAACAGTGTCAGCAGCTCCTGGCAAGGGTAGGGGGAAGAGTTAACCACAGCGGTGGCATCCGCACCCCATCAGCTCCAATGTGCTACAACGCGCTCGTGTCTGTGCTAATGACACTGTCACACAGCGCTGCCCTGTCTCCTTGGGCTGCCTGTTCACTTCTGCTTATTCCTCTTGCCTGTTACCATTCCAGTAGGATTTGGTAAAGCCAATGCCTTTTTTCTCTGGGAGCAGTTTATACGCAGGCTCTGGCTCATCTCTGGAAGCCCCACCTGAAGACAGACTTGAGACACTCCCCACAAACAGCAGAGCTTTAAGCTTTACCTCTGACAAAACATTTTATCGTCCGGCAGCTTCCTAGCATGGAAGAAATACTTGGCCGATTCACTGCAGATTTTCCTTGTCCTTCATTTTTGTTTTAAATTCTGCAATAATCTTCCTCAATACCCACCCCAATTCTATAAAGCATCAACAACTAGTTCAAAGAAACCTCTAGCACCTATTTCCACGAAGGGCACGAGCCCAGCCCTATTCAGATGGTTTCACTGTAGGATTGCAATGAAGAAACCACTGTCCAAAATATTTAATAAAGCACATACACCACTTTAAAGCCTAAAAACCACGGGGTTCGACAGCAGTTTTTTCACTTGACATAAATCTGAACATCTTTGCTCTTAAGTACTTTATTGAATCGGGGCCGAAACACGTGCTTAACGCCAAGTGCTTTACTGTTTTGCTGAATCAGACTAAAGCCAGAGCTGTGACACTGGAAAACCTCTTGAGAGGTCAGTATCGAAAAAGAAAAAGATCCAATATAAAAAAGCTGTTCCAAATTGCCTTGGCCTTAAGTGTCCCATATCCACAGTGAACACATTTGCAGCACAACCCAAATGCATTTTTCCCCCTTCGCTTGTGCTTCAGAGGAGTAAGAGAGATGAGCACAGACCCCAGCAAGCCAGAGAAGGGTGGAGAAAGCTCCAGCTATGAGGAAAAGGACAAACAGAGCAGGAAACGGAGTCAGGAAACCTCTGACTGAGGGCAAGCAGCTTGGGCTCCATGCCAATTTGATTTGCGTGAAAAGCTCTCCTTGAAGAGAAGCAAACCATCCTGGCCCTCAGGAAGCGGTGCGTTTGCAGGAGCTAATGAAAGCTGAATAACTTACTCGCACACAAAGGTTCCCGGTGGAATGTCTTGCATTGTTCGCACACCCCAGCCCATCTTTTCTGTCCGATAAAGCTGCAATCGAGTCCTGGAAAAGAGGAAATGAAGCCAGGTTAATGGCAGCACTCCACAGAAAGACAACGGATTTTCAGAGAGATGAGCAAAAACCCAGCAACCTTCCATCAGCACAAACTCAAAAAAAGATTTTAGTATTTAACCCCCTGGTTCTCACACTGGCACGACTGTGGGCACACTGCTGCTCTGAGCGTGTGGGCAGATGCTCAGATGGGAACGGGGGACAAGGGACATGTGCCCACCAACCCCTGCTCCCTGCCCAGCAGCACCTGGGGACCAGACACCTCAGGGACTGGGGAAGAGAGTGCGGGACTGGATGCTCTGCGTGGTTACGCTGTTGATGATACACACGTAGGATACCAGAATCCCACCACTGGCATTTCTTTTCCCTTCCACGCACACACCCGGCACTCGGGAGAGGGCAGGGAAGGTGGAAGGGGACTTGAGGCAGCGCAGCTCTGCAGGGGGGTGCTGCGGGGGGACGGCAGGGAGCTCGCGGTGAATTAAGAACACCTTGAGCTAAGTGCTCTGATCCCTTTGCCCTCTGCTGAGGCCGGTGCATTTAGCAACTCCATCATACCCAGCCCCCTAGTAGCTGAAAGACAAGGAAGAAACGCTGCAACTTGAAACTTCTTGGTGTAATAGCCACTCTGTGGAATTTTACTGATGGAGTTTATAGGCAGGGAAACAATCCTGTAAGTCATTCTGCCTCCTGCGCAGCCAGAACTTGAGTTAAGTGCAGGATGAACAATCTCCAGGGCTAGGGAAGGCTCACGCTGTCCCTGAGGGAACCAAAACCCACTCTCAGCAATGCTGTTATCGGAATAAAGAGAAATCCGATGCTCACCTTAGCTTCACCCTGTTGCTTTTCCCAGTACTTCTCTCCCCCCCTCCTCTTGCACTGTCAGCCCAAAACCACAGGCTGTGCATTTTCTCCTATTTGCTCCTGGAGCCTTCATCAGTGCAAAACACAACTTCACGTTACACCAGTGATAACACTGTATTTCTGGAAGCTCCCCCACGTTTTGCCTGGTCCATCAGAGCAGAGCAGAGAGCCAGGGTCGGGTTCAGGCTCTGCCATTGGGACCAACACTGGCAGCAGCAGGACTGCGGCTCCAACCTCAGCATCCTGGCTGGGCTGGGTCAGCTGCCGTACGGAAATGTGTGCTGCCCAGTGGGGTTAATTTGGAGCAAATCTGACAGAAGCAGCACTGAAAATGGAGCGGGAGCACCCATGTGTCACGCTGCAGCCCAAAGGCAGGAGGTTTCCTCTGCTGCTCCCTTAAGCACAGCTCTGCCAAGCACCTGCCCTTACCGCCAGCTTCCTGACAAAGCTGCTCTCCCAGGCTCATGGTCGGGTTTCCAACCCTTCCCGTCTTTAGAAAAACACTTTAGCAAGGGAAAAATGCAAAAGCAACAGCTCTGGCTGTACAGCTCCTGAATAAACACCCACGTAGACACCGGAGCTCTGGAGCTTGGCAGGGAAAACCAGAGAGAGGTAAAGTTCTGTGGAAACACTTCAAGCTTCTTCCTTACTTATTTTAAATGTTGCAAAATGTCAGTGAAACTACAAAGCTTGCAAAAAAAGTGTTGTCAGTACTACAAAAAAATTGCAAAAGTCTTTTTTTCCAGTGGGATTCCTTTGAACTAAGTGCAGTGGCAAACTTCTCCATAGCAGAGGTCCAGAACAAAATATTTTCATTTTTAGCCTGGCATCAAAATCCTAACAGCCTAATCTGCTGCACCGAGGCCAACAGGTATTCATTCAGGTATCCAATTCAGGAGGAGTCATGCCAGTAAGTTGGAAATTTTAATCAGCCAGGCCTGGGCATGCTGGCCTATATTTCTAAGACAGACTGTTAACTAACAAGATCTATCAAATTAAGGCTTTGCAGCTTCTGTTGCTGTTATTTTCTTCGCAGGTCTCCACCTGAGAAGTTACACCTAGGCTGTTCATGCAAACCCAGAAGCCATTTATATGTTTTATGGTCAGGCTGATGAAAGAACGCTGCAGTTCCCACATGATGGCAACAGGGGCACGGTGCAAATATTAACTGAGCTCACCAACCCGCTGCTGCTTCGTTCCCACCGGCAGCACGCAGGAACCTGCCTGCACCCCACCACTGCCTGGTGGCACCTGCCCCAACTTCTGCATCATCTTGGGAAGCCCTGGATTTGGTAGGTTTGTAAGTAAGCTGAGACTAGAGAGTCAGAGTCACAGAATGGTTTGGGTTGGAAGGGACCTTAGAGATCATCTAGTTCCACCCCCTGCTATAGGCAGGGACACCTCCCACTAGACCAGAAAGCCCACGAGCGTGGTGTTGGCCTTGCCAAGACACGCTGCGTCTGGATCGTCCTCCTCACCTGAGCCCATTCTGCACCACCCGGTTCCTGCAGGTCCGCCAGCACGAGCACGCGTGGTTACACTCAAAGATCAGCGGCGGCTCAGCCATGTTGAATTCTGGCAGGAGTCGGCCGTCCTGGAGAGGAGAGACATTCAAGACTGGGTTAGCTGTCTATTCCTGAGACCCCTCCAAACCAGAGGCAGGCCAAGAGCAGAAATCCCCTCGAGTTACCCCAAGGTGGAGGCATACCCCCATCTCCCCAAAACCAGCATCACACCTCAGCTTCTGCAGGGGGTTTGCTCCACCCCGACAGTGGCACGTTCACCACTGTCACCGACAGCTGACAAACAGCAAGAGATCATCTAGATTTTTGCTGCCTGGCATCACCCTACACACCACCAAAAAAAAAAAATCTTACAGTGCTGTTCAAAAAAACCGGTGTGCATCATCTTTATTATCATTTTGCAGTGCTGGAGGGGAGAAGCAGATGCTTAGTCTGTCTCTGGAATAAAGCCTAAACTCCCAGATTACAAGGCCAATACACCCAAGTTCTGTGAACCACGTTATCTTCCCAAATAACACTCCCAAAAAAGCTGCAATCCAATTATTTACCAACCATATAGGATTAAGGAAGCGATAGATGCAGTTTATCATATTTAACAAATTTGGCTTTTAAGGCTTGAAAGATGTAATCACCTCTTAATGTGTAAATCAGCTGGCTACAAAGCAAAGAAAGATGCCAATATTCCCCCTGGGAGAAACTTGCAGAGATTCACAGAACTTCTGATCTTAGCAGAACCTGTCCAAATATTAACCTCAAAACCTCCCTGGAGGATTGAAGCACACTTACCCAAAACAAACCCGGCTTCTGGCAATGTTGCAGCTACAACATCTTTACTTTGCCTTCATCCGGAAGGATCACAATAAATAAAAGCAGACAAAAAAAAAAAAATCTCTCTGCTACCCTCCCCTTGTTTACATATTACAGCATTCTTTATGTTTTTCTGAAATGGAAGCTGATTTCACGCATGGATTATTAAACGCTCTCTATCACATGGATATAATTAATGGCTCAGTTGGCACGACAGTAACACAAATAAATAACACTAGAAAAGCTTCCCTGAGTACGCATTTTGTTACTATCACACACATCTCAGGCATTTGAAAACAAAAACCAGAGGAGTTGTGCAAGGAACTGTTTTTAAGGTACTATTCCCAACCCCGAACTGTGCAAAGTTCTGCCCACCAGCACGGCTCTAACCCACGAGGAGGGTCTGTGTCCTCACCTTGTCATACCAGCAGCGCATACTGAGTTGGCCACACATGCAGTTACTGGAGGAGCAGTCGTCTATACATACACAATACTGGAAGAGAAGACAAAGGGTTAACTCCATGCCACTAACACCCAACTGAAAGAGCAACTGCTGTGACTGGGTCAGAGAGGAAACCACAAGTCTTCATCTTCAGAAAAATAACCAGCCTTGGTGGTTCAGTGGCATTTTCACCCCGTTCTTTATTTCTGGGTGCAGTGAAGGTGGAAGGATTCCAGCTCGCAGGGCAGGATCCCACACCGAGCCACCTCCATTTCCACGTCCTCCTGTGTTACTAACCTTCCTCCATGCCCTACGAGCTGTACTCCACACTCGAGGACAAGGAAAGCTCCAAGGATAGAGCAGAGCTGGGAGATGATGCAACACGATGTCTCAAGTCCTCCCCTGCTGCTTGCTTGCCTCTTCCCTCCAGCTGGCTGCCTCCCCCGTGCTCCCCGAGCCAGCACGGTCCCACCACCCGCTGCTGCACACCAGGGTGCTGGTAGGGGACGTTCACTCCAGCCATCCCATCACCCTCACCCTACACCTCCGCACCTCTGCTTTCACCACCCAGCCCTTCCAGCACCACAGCGAAGACCTCGGCGGGGATGCTGCAGTCAGGAGGAAGACAGCATGAGGAAGGTCTCCAAACAACTCCCTAACTCTCCAGGTAGAGAAGAGAGGAAAAGGATGAATGGAGCCACACGAGCCAGCACCAGGCGGCTGATGCTACAGCACACAGCTGAGCACAGAGGTTTGCTTAAGTCGCAGAAAGGAAGAAAAGCAGAATCCCACCTCCTAGAGCAAGAGCTGGAGTTCAGCATTAAGCCCTAGCTGGAATGTGGTGGCACTATTAGGACTAGACATTTCCATTTTGAATGTAAAACCCGTGCACTGCAACATCCCTGAATGCACGCACCGTGATGGGGAAAAGCCCGTGGATACACGCGATCCCTCACCTGTAAATGGGTGATGTTTCTGTCAATGTCCATTGGGGAGGTGACACAGTTCTGTGAAACGTATTTGTAGTTGCTAGGACAAGGCTCGCTGTCCACAGAATTGATGCAGGGAATGGGGATCCGCTCATAACCGCGGGCGATGTCTCTGTCAGTGGGAGAAAGAGAACTGTCACAGATGAAAAGGTCCCCCGAAACAAGGGGCCATTCAAATGCCATCCTGGGGCAGAATTACTGTCTCTGATCGCTGAGCATTCAAAGCCTGAAAGCAATTCAGACTAGAGCAGAGTTCATTTTTTTCCACCCTGTCTTACAGATTGTTCTTTGAGCTCGCGAAAATTTCCATTTGGAGGATGAATTTACAAACCACGGTCTGAATCAGCATGTGCTTAATTCTTGCTAAGCTCAAACCGACCTTCACACTAGTTTAAAAAGCTGTGCACGCGCTTCTAGTCCTCTCCTAAACCAGCCCCCCAGCCTCCCCCATGCCAGGGCTCTATGTCGTGACCCACAAGCAAAGCCAGCCAGATTCTCACCTGCTCACCACCTTCTCTATCTGGGCAGGCTTTTCAGTGGATGATTCTCTGAGAGTCTTGTTCATCTGTAGGGCCACCCAGACCTGAGAGTTAAGGCTGGAGCACTGGAGCGGAGTCTCACCCTCCTTGTTCTTTAAAGTGACATCCGAGCCACGGGAAAGAAAGAGACTGCAAAACAGGGAGAAAGGATAAGCATCCCCCGAGAGAAACCGCACGAGGGGAAAAGGAGCTGAATCACATCCTCCAGCCAGCCCTTAAGGGACAAGGAAGAACCTGCAGCAGTGAATAATCACCTGAGTTTTCTTTATTAAGCCTGGTTCAGTGAATCCTTCTACACGAAGGCGCTGGCAGAAGCCACAGACTGGGGCTCTAGGCGCTCAGAGAGCTCCAGGCAAACCTCGCCTTGCTTCAGGTGAGACAAGTACCATGCTGGTACCAGCCTAACTGCAGCCTGGCTTGAAACCCTCTCTGGCAGGGAAAGATAGGAGTGGGAAGAGCAGGCTGGGAATGGAAGAGTCCCCCAGGAAACTGGTATCGGACTCAGCCCTGGCTTATACTCACCAGCTTTGGGTGAGTACACATGGTGAGTTTATTCATAGCAGGGATGAAACAAGGGAAAAGCCCTGCTACCATATTATGCCACACTAGTTGTAAAAAAAAATAATTAAAAAAAAAAAAAAGCTTTAATCAAGAATTCCTAATGCCCTTCTGCTGGGCAGCCCAGGCTGTGCGCAGTCCCTCAAGCCCTCTGCCCAAGCCTCCCTCCAGGATCACCCCATGTTTTCTGATCTTTTTTACAGTCTGGCAGCAGCTAGTATCTCAGACCCAGTGCCCCAGGAGCAGGGCAATGGGGAAACAAGCCCTCCATCCCGGTTTTGGTTTGTGCTTCAATGCCAAAGGCATTCCAAAGGATCTCCCGGGCTTGCCAGCCAGCACTCGGGTAGAAAGGAGCAACCAGGGGAAGGGAGAGAAGCGGCAGGGCTGGAGCGGTACTTACACGACACATTCGTAGCGGTTCTCTCTGGCTGCAATATGCAGGGGCGAGTCTCCGTGAATATTCACCGCATGTAAATCACACTTAGCAGCCAGCAGGATCTCCGCTATGTCAACACAGCCAGAAAAAGCAGCCCAGTGCAAACAAATATTTTCCTCCTGGAGGGAAAGAAAACAGAACAGAGGCTGTTCAGTGCATTGAAACCCTTTGGGACTTCACCATCCTTAGCTCTACACCTGCAGCATTCAACATGTGGCTTGTAGTCTCGCTCCCTACATTTCTGCTTCTGTCCAGGACTATCAGGGCAGGCAGGGAAATATCCGCGCACACAAGCAGGGAATTCTCACTCCAGCCGCCTCTGCACGCAGAAGGCGGGGAGGCTGCACACAAAGCGGTCCATCGCCTTCCTGACACACGCAGGCAAATCGTCTGTCTCTAAGCCACCAAACAATCTGGATCAATCCACGAGAGAGGTGACAGACGTGAACAAACGTGCTGGAAAAGGCTAGAAGCTGAGCTTCGCCACCCCAGACACACAGCAAAGCCAGCGTGTCTCCCAGCACTATTAAGGAGAAAAAGAGCACAGCACAAGCTACAGGATGTATGGAGGTGCTGGAACGAGAACCGTGAGCCACAGGGAAAGCAATCAATCCAAGTTCAGGCATCTCTTAAATACTGTATGCGCCCATCTCTCATCAGCAGCACTAGAAATAGCCGAACACTCATCATTTGACGGAGGTATTTTAAGCGATGACACTCTGTTGTCTCTTACAGGGCAATCTGCAGCACACTTTGAACCCTTCCCCATGACAAGCTCTAAAGATGTCGATTACAACAGTGCAATGATAGTAATGATCACCTAAGACTTTTTTTTCTTTTTAAAGCAAAAATAAAGCAACTTAACTTAGATCCTTCCTTAAATGTGGAGGCTACTGACATATACAGGGAGTGGGGGGACTCTATACGGCTTCTGCTTCCCATTGAGGTAAGATCTAGAAAAAAACCCCTAATCAGCATCACGTACCAATCTACAGAAAAAATAAATCCTGTCGATTGCACACCACGTGCTGCTGCTCAGACAGGCTACAGACACCTAAACTCGGTACTTTGCCGTGCATCGGTACTGCCTGACAGCAGCATAATTACAATCAAAAGCACTTTACCCGGAGCACGATGTTTCCCAGCACAAGTGACATTGCTCCTTAATGACAGCAATCAGGAGACACTGAACGCAGGGACAGTGACGGATATGCGATCCATACATCTGCTCAGAGGATACTTTTCTTTCAAGTAAATTGTTGACTGAGCTGATTTGATTTTCATCATTTAATGCGTGATCTTGTAACCGGTGGCCAGAAGGCTTCTATGACAGACGAAACAACTCCGTTTTGTTCAGAGGGAGCACTAGGGCTCAGAAGGAATGCAGCAACCCAAAAAGCACCCTCTCACCTTGATTTTTGCTTTTAGGAACAGTATCAGATCCAGACCTGCCTGGGAACTATTTAAGCTACCAAAGAAACACAGGCTCCTGCCGAGAGGGGCTTTCAGACTGGGGACGGCGACTCCTTGGGAACAGCTGGAGCCTTTCTGGGACAAACATACCAACACCTTCCCCTGCTATTGCCCAAGATGCAAACCAAAACATTTAGGGAAACAAATACAAACCAGCTGCTTATATCCCTTGGAGTCAGAAAAGCACTAGCAGCCCTGGACAAGAACATACATTGCCATGAGGTAGGCTGGAGGGTGAACTGATGGCGGGGAAGGTCCTTTGCTGTAACAACTCTGTGCAGAATGCAGTGAAGCCCATCACCCCTCATTGATCAAACTATCTCATGTCTAGAGGTGAAAGCACCCCAGTTCACACCCAGGCTTGCCTTGCAGGTGCTTCTGGGGTTTCAATACCCTTAGAGACAGAAAGGATGAAATGAGAAGCACCCTATTAAGAAAAAAAGCAGATGAGCAGTGCTGATATATTGAGTTTCCTGAACAGCAGCCTGGATGCTCTCCTTTTTTTCCCAGCCTTCTCCATTTACTTGAAAATCCCGGTAAAACGGGCTGGCACAGCCCAATGTGCCCACGGAGCTCCTGGGGACTCCACCTGGAGTCAGCGTCCCTCACGTACAGAGTATGTCCCACTCAAGTAGAATTTATGGAGGTGAAGAACCGGCCAAGAGCCAGCTCCAGCGCGCAGAGCTGCCAGCCTGGGCACACTCTGCCCACACCGGTGACTATGTGCCCAAGAAAATCCAGGCTTATGATACTTGCTGGCAGAGTGTCTGCCCCATCCATCTGGAAAACATGAGCATGAGCTTGTGCCCCGCAAAAGGCACATAGGATGCCCCTAACCTTAACCCGTGCCCAACGCACACTGGCCCGTGACCAGTGTGGAGCTGGCCAGTGCCATGTCCAAGCAGAAGCAGCGAGGCACAGAGCTAATCACAACCCGCAGCACTATGTACAGCATCTTTATGGGCTGTGTATGAAGAGCTGGAAGACAATGACCTTCTGCCAGCTTGTAAACTTCCCAGAATATGGAGGAAAATTCTCCCTCCAGACACTTTTCACTTGCTGCTCCAAACCACTTGTACCAAGGGACCACTGCATCCCCTGCGCTCAGCCCAAAAATCTGCCTTCTTGGGCTTGTTTGGTTTTCAAAGAGAAATTGTGGACAATTTCCAAAACAGATTCCAGGAAGAACCTCACATTGTCACGGATATTGATGTCAGACCCCTTCACAAGCAGCAGCTTCACCAGCTCAATGTGCTTGTACTCGGTGGCCCAGATCATCGGCGTCCAGCCTCCGTCGTCCTGGGGAGGGAAAGGAAAGGGTGAGACACGCAGAACAGGCAAGACCATCTCCTGAAGGCTTCACAAGTCCCTTGGCAGCCATGGCAGGGTGCACCTTGCCTGGGAGCCACAGAGCCCTTCCCTCCCCATGCCTGTCTCATTGCTGTCCTTCAGTCTATGCTGCTGCAGGGAGAGGTCCCCCAGGGTCCTGCAGAGCCAGCGTGATGCAAACCGACACGCCTCGGCAGGCTGGAGTTGATTTGCAGCTCAGCACACTAGCAATGGATCTCCAGGGTGTTAAAATACAGCTGACTGTCCAGAAGGCACAAGCAGCATCCAACTTGTGTCAAAAGCTCTTACAAAAGCTCCCTGAGCAGCCTTCCCCCAGAATAAGGAGCCTCGGTGCAGTGCTGCCTCCCCCCACAGCAAGGGATCAGCTCTGCGATGGTGGGACAGGCGTGACCCACCCCACAGCACATCCCTGATCCCACCAGCCCCCTGCAAGGAGGGGGGCACAGTGACACCCTTCGGAAACAGGCTCCATGAGCAAACTCGGGGTCAAGAAGAAACTGTAAATGGAGGCACAGGGAAGTTTCCATGAGGCTGGTGGAGGGGATGACCTTCTCTGGCCGAGAGGGATGCCCACGGCACTGTCACCCTACGAGGTTTGTCAGGTCCCCTCCAGCAGCAGGGCTGTATTTGAGTATTGAGTATTGTATTTGAAACAGCGCGCTGCTGAGACTGGGGTCCCTGACCTCACCTGGCAATTGACATCCATCTTCCCGTTGGAGAGGAGGTACTGGACGACGTCGTAGTGCCCCTTCTTGGCAGCCAAGTGTAGACACGTGGAGCCCTCCGCATCCTGGACACAACCACAGAACAAGCGCTCAGGGGACAGCCCTTCCCAGCGTTTCCCACCTCTGCACAACACCTGCAACGCTCAGGAACCAGCAGAGAGGTTCATAGATGGAGCAGAGGACTCCAAAAGCCCCCGGCCCGCTTCCAGGAGGGCAGAGAACAGCAACCAACACTTTGCACAAAGCTCAGAGGTGCAACCCGTGCAGAACAGGAGGGTGAGTGTGCCAATGCTACGGGAAGAGACGCCTTTGCAAAGCCTAGGGAAGGTACCAGCTCCAAACACGGCAGATTGATGCTCTCCTTCCCCAGCAGACCCCCTCCAACTCTTCTCCATGTGCTGGAGAGCCAAGGAGAGGCAGAAATTCTTTACAGAGGCAGGGCTTGCACTTTAGTTCAGGAAAGTAGCCTTGTCTCAACCTGAAATGTTCCGTTTATGCAGTTTTTTTGCAGTGTTTTATTAGCACAAGGACTCATCCCAGCACCTGGCAGCAGGGTGTGTCCTGCACAGGGCGTAGGAGACTCCTGAGAGAGCAAGTCCCCAGCATGCCTGCAGCCATCTGCCCGAGACAGGAGACAAAAACCATGACGGCTGAAAGGAAAAATGCCTTTGGGAGCACAGAACACAGGGTCTGGTGGAGATGGACAGGCTGTGAGTCACGCCAGAGACACTCCCACACTAACACCAAAGTTCTCGGTGGCTGGAGTCTGATTTTTATCAGATGTTTACATCCCAAGAGCTTAACACATAGCAAGGCCCAGAAATCAGGAAATAAGGAGAAGGAAATGAAAGACTGAAAACCAAAATTACTTAGTCCAGCTAAGCCCCTGGAAGCAACATCGGAGGCGAGAGGTTTCGGACAGAGCCGAGCAGAGAGCACGACACAAGGTTAGGAAGCAACCCTCCGAGCAGGATGCTCAGGATTGCACTGTGTGGGCTTCTAGAGGTAAAGTGGTGGTTTCTACACCCCCAGAAGTGCCTGTCACATCTGTCTAGTGCCACTGCTCTCCCCTTAGGTTAGCATGAGCCAAGCGCATCTTCTCAACCCTATGGAGAGCAGGTAGATTTTAAGATAAAGTTTCTGCACGTCTTGAGTGAGGTTTTTATGTCCTATTAACTGGATCAACAGCTTCACCCTGGGGTCTGAGAAACCCCCACCCACACACCCCCTCTCCGTCCTCAGCATCCCCTCACCCGCAGTGCCGCAGGGCCGGGCTGGGCAGGCTCCGCACACACCCGCAGCACTTGAACTCCAGATTTCTCATCGAAATGGCTGGAGCTGATTTTAAACTGCAATGTTGCTGCTTTCAAAAAGATGACTAATTTGGTGCAAGAAACTAATTAACATAATAAACTAGTCTAGACTTCAGACGTGATCTCAGGCTTCTAATTTGCATTTGCAAGCTCAGGATTTTTTTTCCTTCCCTTTACCTCTAGAAGCAAAAAACCTTCTTTTCTCTTCCACAGGAATAGATCGGGTGAGAGATGGCTGGATTGCTCCAGGACACTTGGAACAGCGGCCAGCATGAACCCACACTTGCCTGTCCTGTCCCTTCCCAATTCCCAGCTCAGAACCAGGATCCCAAGGATCTATTTAAAGCTTGGGGTGGGCAGCACTTGATATCTTGTGCAATCCTCCTGGCTCTGCCACTTCCTTTGTGAAAAGAGCATCCCAGCCCTGCCGCACTCCCCAGCGACCGCAGAGGAGCGTGCCAGCAGCAGCAGGTTGTAACAATAAGAAGTTCACATGGGGAGGGTTCCTGTGCTTCAAATAGCATCTGATTTATGGGACTAATAAACGATTTGTGTATTTTCCAAGATTGCAAAGCAACCAGAGCATGCTAAAGGCAAATGGACAGCTGCATTTTATTGTGTTGGTTGAAATTAAAGGGTAGGGTTTAAAGATGGGGTCCGGTTTTGCCACGGCAGTGTGACTGCAAGAAACCGCACATCAGTCCTTTGGAAAGCAAAGCTTCCTCTGTCATTTTTGTTGGCTCGGCAAGCATCTAATTACCAGCACATTTTAAAATGCCACCCCAAAATTCTCATTATTAGAGTCTATAGAGAAGGAAACTCCGAAATCAAACTCCAAATTCACCACAATGGATTTGTGACACTAATACTTAGTGGCCCCATGTGAAACCAAATAGCCCCTACACTTAGTGCCACAAACGCATGTAGCCAAGTGGCAGCACTTGCCCCAAACTGCTCCCAGTCAGGACACTGCACCATTGAAATGACACTACCCACAACCACAGCCTTGCCAAGCCTTCGTGCCCAGGACAAGCTTCCCCTCTGCCTGCGCAAGACTTAAAACCTATCAAGAAAGAAATGGTGGACAGAGACTTATTCAGGAGAAAAGGATAAGGAATGAACTGCTACCTTAGGATCTACTAGTGCTCCAGCCTTGATAAGGTATTTCACAGTTTCCAGATGGTTGTTCTCTGCTGCTTCCATCAGTGGGGTCCTCTGATCTTCAGAGCAGGTGTCTATATTAGCACCAGCCTGGGAAGAGACCAAGGCAAGCACAAGGACGGTTATAATCATCACTGGTTAGCAGAGGAAGGATGTGGGAGTAGAGATTCAGTAGCAAGTTTTTTTCCTGAGATTTAGCCACATTAAGTAGGGGGGAAGAAGAAAAAAAAAAAAGGAATAAAAGGGAAGAAGGCAGTCCAACTTCACCTGTTTTGGAAAGCAGCACACGCTGCCTGCCTTCTCTCCTGCCTTCTACAGCAGTAACTGGGGCACAAGGAAGCTGGTATTAAATAACTCGTTATCAATGCATTTGTACTGCTACTTTCTAATATTGCTTCTGTAATACTTTGGAAAAATCATCCTCCTCCTTTTTCCAGCAGCTTTGTTTTCCCTGCTCTATCATTTCTACAGACACAATGAATGAAACAACCAGCTCTTCCCCATGTCACAAGCAGCAGGAACATCTTGCTGACTGCAACAGCAGTCGGAGCTGTAAAAAAAACTCTGGAGACTGGCTAACTATTGCCATTGAAGTCAACAGAAACACTTCCACAGAGGTCTCTGAGCGTATGTGCAGTTCAACACGGAGTGCCTTGGACCAAAATCTTACTTTTTTCCACAATGCTACTGTCTCATGTATCTTGCCTGCTTTAACTCTTTGGCTTAGCTCGGTAACCCACCCAATACTTTACAGCCCAAAGCCAATCTCCGAGAGGCCACACACACACACAGACACGCGGGAAGCACAGACCTGCTGGCAGCAGCGCCACGCTGACTCAGGTTCACCTGGCACAAAAAGTTGGCTCCATTGCTTTCAGGTGCCTCCCACTGAATGCGTTTGTTTTGATTAATTTTAAATAGCTCAGCTATTTAAACCAGACCAGAGGTGAGGCGTTGCAAGTTTAACAAGCTGGGGACATTCTACAGTAGCCAGACAGCAGGGAAGAGACATGAAGATGAAGGATTTAGGAAACAAACCAACCCTACTGATGCTCAATTCAAATTGTTTGCAATATCTCACAAATTTTGCTCCTTTTTACTCATACGAATCATTCCATTAACTTCACACACAGTAACTTAAGTGAGCAGGAGCAGCAGGGTAGGCTCAGAGCTGCAAATTCACACAGCACTTTGAAAGCCTCCCACTCCAGATGCTGAGACGCAGCATCCCAGCAGGCTCATTCTCAAAGACGTGGTACTGCTGCTTTCTCAAAAGCCCTTTAAGGTTTCCCAGTCACACAGGGTAAACAAAACATACTTCCAGTCACTCCAGAAGATGTATGCCAGCCAGTACAAAAAAGAAAAACGATAACTTCTTAAATCCTTTTTTCTTCACATCATTTTGGAGTGGGTTCAATAAAAGCACCCCTATGTCTTTGACCATCTTCCCTCAATTAGAACCCAAATCTCAGACAATAAGCCAAACTCGCATCTTTCCTTCTCTCCTTTCCACATGTGAGATATTTACACTGTAGAGGAAAATCCTGCTCAGGTTCATAGAATCATAGACTCACAGGATGGTTTGGGCTGGAAGGGACCTTAAAGCCCATCCAGTGCCACCCCCTGCCATGGGCAGGGACACCTCCCACCAGCCCAGGTTGCCCAAAGCCTCATCCAGCCTGGCCTTGAACCCCTCCAGGGATGGGGCATCCACAGCTTCTCTGGGCAACCTGGGCCACTGCCTCACCCCCCGCACAGGAAAACATTTCTTCCTTAAGGTTTTGACAAAAGGAACGACAGAGTCTGCTAGTCTGGAGGCTCCAGAGCCGACCTGCCTTCATCACAAAGAGCAACCTGGCAGCAGGCTGGACATCCCCGCAGCCTGCCAGCGGTCAGCAGCGCCCTGCTCGCTGGGGGTGCTTGGGCGCAGAGCTTCCACATGCCCCACACTGCCCTGCAGCGAAGCTTCAGGTGCTCATTGCCCGGACAGTGAAGCTTCCTTGGAGAACAGTCTAGACAGATAGCTTCAGTCATGTCCTCCGAGACCTCCCGCTACTCTCCACCACTGCTCCTCCCCCAGCAAACCCTGAGAACAAGGAGGTTTTTATAGGACAGACGTTTCAGCGCTGATTTCCAAGTGTGCTTTAGCCATCTGGGGCAGGAGACCAAAAACCACAGAAAATTGCTTGTACAGAAGAACGTAAGCGGAGACAGACCTGAATCAGCATATGGCAGATGTCCACGTGGCCAGACTCGGCGGCAGCATGGAGAGGGGTTCTCTTACTCTGATGCTCCATTTTAAAATTAGGGTCAATTCCATCCACTGAAAAACAGAGCAGAGATGCTTTCAACCACAATTCAGAGATAAGAGAAAAGCGTAACAGGAGAACCAGGTCTCAGCTAAAGGCTTTTAAAGGACGGGTTCCCAGCCCATCCTCAGCCCTTCTCACCACTCACTACACATTCAAGGCAGAAGGCTCTCAGGTTAGTCCCAAGGACATTCAATATGCAACAGCCCTCAAACCAAGAGCTTCAGAAACATCACAGAATTTAATACCGTGAAAGCATTACAGTTTCTACACAGGCCATCTCCCTCAGATTCACCATTCCCCATCTCTCAGGACAACAAAAACAACCAACACCACACATGGATAAAAAGGAAAAAAAAAACCTGCTTTGTTTCAAGCAACACAGAAGTTGGAAACAAGAAAAAGTCAGTCCTACCTGGCCTTTCTGTCTCACCACTATTAACTGCAATTAATATTAGTGATCCTCGTTGCATCCCTGCAAACACAGGGCTACAAAGCAGATCAAGCTTCTCCAACTAACACGAGCTCGGGATCTGGCCAGAAATTCTCACAGCTGTGCAAAGACTGGCAGATGATGATGACAGCCAGACAAAGATGTCTGGGCATGATAACATGTTGCACATGATGAGGCCGTAGTTAAATATCAATGAATAGCGGTTTTGTGCTATTGAAGACACAAACAATGAAGCTAACATTTGCCAGAAGAAAACAGAAGAATCTGATAAATGAAAAGAACAGAAAGCATCCAAAAATGTACTGCAAAGTACTGGAGTAGAAAGGAAACAATCCCAAAGAAACATTGTGTCCTTCAAAGGGGGAGATCCTTGGGAATATTTGTTGGTATGAACAAGCTCAGCAGCTCAAAGTCATCTGGTGATAGACAACTATGCACCCCCAAACCAAACCCTGTGTACTGAAAAGCTCTTCCTTTCTGCTCTCTGGCTGATGGCTCTTGCTCACGCTGACTCACATCTTTTTACCTCCCCACTGGATGAAAATACCCAACTATCCCATTGCACGGAGAGGCAAAGTTCTGCTGGACTGCAAAAAATCACACGTAGGTCACCTGGGGACAGAAAGAGCTTCTCTGGATAAAACCGTGCCCAAACGCAGAACCAGGCAGGGAGCAGGTCCACATTTCACAGAAAGATGAAGCCATTCCCAGCGACACATGACTTGCCAAAGTGCCTTTCTCCCCCAGCTCCCCTCCCAAGGGACAGTGGGGAATATGACGTGCTGCCATGCTGGGAACTGGACTCTGGCAGCTGCCTGGCAGGAGCTGGGAGTGCTGCCAGACACGCAGTGTCCTGGGAAGGAGCCACCTACCCAGCATCAGCAGGACTTTCTGCAGCTCTCCTTGCCTCGCAGAGAAGTACAACTGCTTTGGATGGAACCGTAACTTCTTGGGTCTGCAGGAGTGCGGAAAAGAGGCACAATTAATACTCACTGAAAAACACTCCTGGCATTTCACCCCACCCCATCGCTACCCCACGTGCACGACAAAGTCTGTTCCTTCAGTACAGCTCCAGGGTGCCAGCAAAACACAAGAACAACAACTCTCCAAAACATCTTCCAACTTCCAGCTCCAACCACAGCCAGCCTTGTTCTAACGAGGGCTGGATCTATTCAGCTGCTCATGAACAAATTCTGGGTCTTACTACTGTGAACGAGAACTCCTCACAGTTACAGCTGCAGCTGGAGAGCCAGTGAAAAACTAAATCCTCCAGACAAAACAATCAGACATTTAGAGCTGGAACTGTTCCCTTGAACCAGTAATCTGTTGGGGGTGACAAATGACTGAAGTGAACAAAAAAAAAGGTCTGAGTGGGGCCAAAATCCAGCTAAATCTCAGTCTTCTCTAGGTTAAGTAACTTTGCTGGACACTGGAGAGACCCAGCGGTCTTTTTCTTACTTTTCGGAGTCCAGGGCAATTAGGGCACTTTCCAGAGTTTCTTTAACTGGTCCCTGGGTCAGGCTGGTAGTAGGCTTTGGAAAAACTGAAGACCCAGCCATGTCAAACCCCTCAGGAGCCGAACTTTCTGGCTTGTCTTCCTCTGATAACCGGGTCCCAGTGCCACTGCAGAGGAAAAATGAGAGAGAGACAACGCACAACCATTAAAAACACACAACAGTGCATACCTTAGGCCAGAGAAGGAAAGGAAATGGATTTTAAGTACAGATAAGTGTAAGGGAAATCAAAACACAAACCGATATATTTTACAGCCTTTTTGGTAAGAACCTGCCCCAAAAATGAGCTGTGCTGTGCTATGATTACATTTTGATGTCCTACAGGAAACCAAGGAACATGGGGCAAGTCAGAAAAGCCACCGGAATAAGACCAGATGGGATGGGAAGTCGAAGCACTGTTCAAGGCAGGGGTGGCTTCATTTGTGTCTCCCTCTGCGTTTTGATCATCTCTTTTTATCTCTGCCCATTGATGCTGTATGGCTGGGTACCACATGAATTTCCCTGTCACTTACCAGACCTGGCAACACCAACTCACTCCACTGTTACTCCACTCCTAACAATAAGAGGAAGGAATGGGTTTAACTCCTAAACCCCTCCTGTCTTCATAGCCTCTGCCCCAGCTCACCGTAAAGCTGCTGCGCCCTTCTCCAACACAGCAAGCAACACAAAACACGCTTGCAGACTCCTGCAGCAGAGTTTGGCTCGTCAGAGCAGGACCACAAAGTGCTTTGCTCCATCAGGAGAACCACAAGGGAAGAAATGTAAAGCACGGTCTGGCACGAGGTCTGAGACCGCCACATGCTCCCCAAGCTCACCTCCCTGTCGTGGTGTCAGCCCTTCCCTCCACAGCTGCTGGTTTCTGCTGCTCGTAGGTCAGCGACACCGTGGAGGTTGTGTCGGCTTTTGCTATTGTCACCTCCTTTGCCTTGGAGGCGTCTTCCCCGCAGTGTGGGCAGTAGCTCATGTCGTTGACCTGGGAGGCACAATTCTTGTGGAAACGGTGGGAGATGCTGCTCTCCGGCTGACACTCCATGAAAGTGCCCTAAAAAAACCACAGAGAAGAAATTCACACCTGGGTCACTACATGCCTTACCCCTTCCACATGCTTCATCCGCAGATCTCTTAAATACTTCATTCATCACCACTCCTGTCCCTGGCGCTTCCAGTACAGTAAGTAAGCACTGCCACTTCTTTAGAAGAGAAAAAAGCCAAGGTAACAGGGAAAAAACTCACTTGGTTAGGGACTGCAAAGCAAGTTTTTTAATTGTGTTCGGGAAACAGAACGAAGAAGTCCCAATTTCCAGCTCTTTCCTCTAACACTTGAAGTTCTTATGTTTCTAGAAGTGCCAGTGTACTGTAAGGACAGCCCCAAAATCAGAAAAGAAAACTTCAGCCCTGCATGCTGAGCCAGCATTAAAACTACCAAATAAAGCTGCGCACAAGCTATTCAAGAACCTACATGAGTATAATTAAATCAGCTGTTAACCCCAATATACCCTAAAGCATGGACTTCTCTGCTTGGACCAGCCCATGTGCTGTTTAACCCCAATGCTGTGGCTGACTGCTCATTCAACAGATTTGGGCACTTGTCTTACAATTAACTTCCCTTTCCAGCAAAGCCCTCTGAGCTGAACTGGAGGCACCCCAGAATTCACTGCCCTGTGCCACCAGTGCTACCTGAAGCCCTGCTGTGCTGTTATCAGCGACGGATGGCACAGACCCTCCCAGGTTCACCTGCGTGAACTGGGACATGTCACTCGGAGATGTAAGAGCAGGTAGGGAAACAGAGGGGTTCACGGCCAGGTTGGCACAAAATGTCATTCACTGATATTTAACTCTCAGCCTCCAGTGCTGAAAGGGGGCTACAGGAGAGATGGGAGGCTCTGGATCAGGGGTGGAGGGACAGGATGAGGGAGAACGGTTTGAAGCTGAAAGAGGGGAGATGGAGATGAGATGTGAGGAAGAAATGTTTTCCTGTGCAGGGGGTGAGGCAGTGGCCCAGGTTGCCCAGAGAAGCTGTGGATGCCCCATCCCTGGAGGGGTTCAAGGCCAGGCTGGATGAGGCTTTGGGCAACCTGGGCTAGTGGGAGGTGTCCCTGCCCATGGCAGGGGGTGGCACTGGATGGTCTTCCCCCCCAGACCATTCTGTAATTCTATGATTCTATGGAAGGCTAGTTAAAACCCACTCTTTTGAATTCACAGTCCTCCCAAGCAACCTAATTAACTCTAAGCAACCTAATTAACTCTATTTCAGCTTTGCGAAATGCCTTGAACAGTTTTGAGGATTTTATCTTTTAAATGATCTTTGACTCAGCATGAACACCCAGGGTGGCTCCATTTACTGCAGTTACAATAACGCTTGAGCCTATGTAGCATCTTGAGTTGAGTCATCTTGAAGAACACCAGCACCAGACAATTAAGCCTCCCCATCACCCCGTGAGGGCCTCAATTGGTGTTTTTCAGCTTTACCAACAGGGAAACTAGGATGCTGACGACTTGAAGGACTGGACCAATGATATTAAAAGCCTCGGTGGCAGAGGTGGGAGAAGCAGCTGGAGATGTCAAACCCTGCCTTGTTCCAGTGTCACCACTAAGGTTCCCCATCTAAACCCTTGTGAGCAGGCTGGGGGACAGAACCACTCTTGTGTATACAGATTCATTTACAAACCAAGCTAATACAATTTTTGATGTGTTGATCTGTACAGAGAAAGAAAAAAAAAACCACAACAACTTTGTTCCAAAGAAATTCCTAAGGCAAGACTTTCACCATGCGAAAACCCAGTGGAAACCCTTCAGTGACACCCCTCGGGGTCTCCAGGACGATAAAGGTGACAATTGCAGCTACCCTCACACACATTTCTGTTGAAAACACCACCTGACATGCTGTGGACCGAGGTGGAGTTGATGCCAGGAAGTCAGTAAACCCCTTGAGGTACCATCTCCACCTTCAGCTCTTCCAGCTCCTGCGCCAGGCACCCCCTTCCCTAGATCGAGAGCAGGGACTTACTGCAGTGCAAAAGTATCCACAGCCAGGGCAACACTGGTGTTTCACCATCCTCCCTCTATGGTCCTCACACAGCACCAAAAGCTGGACTTTGTTAGACGGGCGCATCAGTTCATACTTAACCACACTGTTTGTGCATCGGCCCAGCTGGAACAGGAGAAATTAAAGGAAATGAAATTACTGGAGACCAAAACACTCTCCGTGCTCGTGCGGAGGAAGATTTTTGCACGCTGCTTTGATGAGCCCTGGCTTTTTCACAGTAATTCAAATGTGTGCCAGATAGCATTAGCAGTACAGCAGGAAGCTGTGAAAGCTGCTCTCACAGGAAGAAATGCATCATTTACTAACTAACATGCATGTGGACCCCGAGTCGTTTGTGTCTTGCAAGAAAAAAAAAAAAAAAAGGGAACTGGAAATACGCACGAGCCAAGCGGCTGCAGAAGGGGCAGTCCCAGGGGCCTGACTCACACAACACGGGCTCTGCTTTTGCCAGGAAGAGCAGGTGCCGGTGACCAAAAGAACAAGACCATACGCACTAAATCTTGTTACTGTTCAAAAGTAAAAAGTCACAGGAAGATAAAGCGAAAAATAATTGCTCTGCGTTGCCAGCGAAGTTATCGTCTGTACTGGTTCCAGCACTGGCCCCTGCCCAGACCACAGGGATGAAGAGCCAGGATTTCACGAGAGCTCAACTCAAGTCACATTTTGAGCATGTTTTCTGAAGGATTTCACCAATGGCTTAAAAAGCTGTCTTCCCGTGCACCCCCTTGCTCTGTCAATGACAGCAGGCTCCATGACTGCGGTTCACCTTTCCCAACCAGGGCGACTCGCTCTGCCGCGTCGGGAGGATCAGCGCTTCCTCCCGCTGCCCCCGTTCACACATCCACGACATTCTCACACCCCAGCTGCCACCTGCTAGCACGACATGATGCTGTTCGGATTCTCTAAGTTCCTCTTGATAATAATCCTGCTTCCCCCAGGTGCTTGGCAAAGGACATTTATAAACCAGCAATATCACCGTGACAGGCTGCTACAAGGAAACGTCCCTACCAAAATCTGGGCACGGTTCAACTGCACTGGCCACCATGAGCAGGGGAGTCAGCCAGGACCATCGTGCCTGCTCAGCACCAACAGACTGGCCCTCTGGTCCAGCTGAGGTTTCATTTGCCTCTTTTTTCCTCAACAAAACTAGACTTTCTCTTTCAAAACTCCCCTTCTCCTGCAGAATCAACACCGCTACAGAAAACAAGAACCAATTTTAACCTAGGCTCATCGTTCACGCCTAGCAGCTCTGATTCAGCTCACCCAAATTCCAGCTGCAAAGGCTACCTGTGGTTGGGACACCCTGGCCAGACTGACTGCCACACACAACCCCAGGGCTGCAGGGGTGGCAGGAGAGGACCATTGCATTGATTTTTACTTATGAGCCGAGGAAATTGGATTTACAGGTGAAAAGCTGCACTGTTTGTGTGAGGAAGTCCCTGCGTTATAATGTCACACTATATCACTTGTTAGAAACTCTAAAAAAGTACAAAATGATTAATTGCTATTTTCCAACCCTTAGGATGCTCATAACTATTTATAACATTCTCCAAGGACATGACAGTCTGGAGAACCCACTATTCACACATCTAATATTCTTGTAACATCTATGAGTCACTTATTCCATCATGAAAAATAACCTAACATAAAGCATGGCCTTTGCTATTCCTCTCTCTGATATGCCCAAGGACAGAACTGTCAAACCACCATCTACCAGAGAAGAACCTCTTTCATATCCCTTTTGTTTATGTAGAAACCTCAGAGGTCCCTGTCTCTCCTGTAAGAGGTATCTCCAGGGTATTCTCTCTTTAAGGAAAGCTACGGAAATTCCTCTCTCCATAGGTACCGGCACCTACTAACAGAAGTAGAGCTGGGCTGTAAATCTGATTATCCCTTTCTCCCTCCATCCACTCTTCTCCTGGGATCCTACAGGAGAACTAGAGATCTTCTCACTCCTTGTCCTACCACCAGCAAGTAGCAGAGGGCTGCAGCGTGACCACGGCTCAGCTGAAGTTTAAAAGAAACCCAAGTGCCTCTAAATAAAAGGAGAATCTACCAAGCGTGTTCCTGTCCTGCAGACTCACTTTCCAGACTCTGCCACTTCCTTCCACATTTCTGGAACCAGTAGAGCCCAACTAGCCCAGTTGTGATGGACTGAAAGGCGTCAAGTGCAATCATTTCCAGTCAGCCAGACCTGGAGGCTGCGCAGGGCTGCCAGCAGCTTTGTAACAGAAGCTTCTCGAGGGAGGAGGAAAGACGAAGGCTGGGGCAGACAGCTGGCAGAAGGCATGCCAAGTTCCTGAAACTCAAGAGCTGGCTATGGAAAAGTGTGCATCAGCTCCTTCGCAGTCAAGGGAAACCAGCCCCAAGTTTCCTCTGATTGGGTTTTCTCACTTTGATGCATGTGAACGTATCTCAGCCCACTTGGCCCCAAACGCGTCTGTTACATCAACCCGATCCAGCCGCGCGGGCCAGGACCAGCAGGAGAGATCCACCCAGCGCCTCTCCAAGAGCAGACGAGTGGCTTCAACCCAACTGTGCGATGCATGCAGAGCGCTGGAGCCCTCAGTTTAGCGAGCGAGATCTGCCATTCCCGCACACCAGTGGCTTCCCAGTTTAGCAGGCTGCAGAGCCCCTGCGTGACCCCACACATGTTCCCGGCACAGCTTTTTATTCTTTATGTTTCTGTCCTCAGCAGAAAAGTCTACGAGAAGCTGAAAGACAGGCTCGTACCTCATTATCCACGCTCTCCGTGGCCATGCACTGGTTGTTGGCTAGCGTGGTGATCTCTCTGCTTTTGGGGGTTTCCATTCGACAGCTACAGAGGGGGACTTCCTGGAGACCATCTACTTCCATTGCTTCAGGACCATTGGCAAGACCTGCAGTACAGGAGACCAGTAAAACAACTCTTACATTCTCTCCCAGGAGGAAGGATCAGTCCATCAACACCACCCATGTCCTGCAGCATCTTCCCATTCCATGTCCTGAAACACTTGCAAGGCATCACCTAAACCCTGTAAAAAAGACCCCTTTCTTAAACCAGTTGGAGTTTGCAGAAGCATCCTGTACTTTTTTTTTTTAAGTCCAGCCACACTACAGATGACTCTGCTGAAATCCAGACTAATGAGTGAAGAACAGTTCACTCTGAGAAAACCTCAACAAGGAAAAGCAACGCCGAGGTACAGATTTTTATCAGCTTGTCTCTCCTCCCCACCTGCCCCACAACACTGTGCTCTGGCACCAGAAAAATTCCAAGAAACCACCTGAAGTAACCACCCAAAGTTGGAAATTTGTATAGTTAGTGGAGTGATAAATAGAGAAGATCAGGAAAGCACAAACTTCTATTTGCAGGAGGCTTATTACACAGATGGGAAAACAAAATTCCTGGGACTATTTGGTCTCAGCCAACCAAGAATTATTTATTTTGGAAAAAGAACAAACCAGGGAAAAGAAAGCAGCAAGATGCTCAGATATTCTTGCCTTCTTCTCATCCCTTTCTCTCAGATTTTTAACACTTTCAGACCCATTGAAAGGTGGATAAGGGCTTTTGAGGGGACTCACCAGCACCTATGGGGACACAGCGTGAATGTTCTTGTGCCTCCTCTGGATCCAACTCAGTCACTGGGCTACCCATGATCACACAACATTGGCATAACAACAAAGGGGTTGCTTTTAGTCCTACTACTCCTATTCTAATCCTACACAGTCGTAACATCCCTTTGCAAAGTTTTCATTACAGAAACAAACCCTCAAACATTTGCCTTTGGACTGGTTCACCCTGAAGTGTCCCAAAAAAACTGCTATGGGAGTGAGTCCCAGGGAGAAGGAACTATGCTGCTATTTTTTAAGGTTTTAAAAGGTGAGTTATTTTTCTGCAAAGTTTCAAAGATGAACATCATTCCTGAGGGAGATTCCTCTTTGGCTGCCCTGGCACTGTCAACACTTTCCCCCTGGAGCATCCTGCCCATGGCTACCACCCCACCACCCCAGCACAAGCCCCTTTCATCTCTTGCCAACAGGTGGCAAGACCAAGCCTGGAGAAGGGATGGGATATTTCAAGACATACAAGCAGAGGGAAAGTCCTTGCCGTTTTCATGTAAAATCCTGTCAAGATCTTAAAGATTGAAGAGCTTTTTCTAGGACCACAAATCACAGAGCTCATTCCTTGCCTTCTGAGTTGTCACTTTCATCACCTTTTTGACATCCAGAGGCCCTGGTGAAAGCATCCCTCACCCATCCTGACCTTCCCTGGGTGGTGAACACTCCCACCTGCCCTTTGATGCGCCTCTATCAGAAGAGCCAGACGACCTTTGAAAGCGAAAGAGCGACTGGGGCCAGACAGATGGATCCAGGTCAGCCAGGAGGCGCTGGATCTGCAGCAAGTTCAGCACTGGGAACAGCGGCTGGGGGCGAGCACCCAGAAACCAACACCAGTCCCTCCTCCTCTTCCTGGGGCTGAGGATCCTGGGGGGCACTGGGGAGACGCTCAATCCACACCCTCCGAGGAATGGAGAGGAGCTGCTGGGTGCGATGGGCAGACTGGGACAGCACCTTGGGACCCCTTGCTGGGCAT